CAGCCCTCTGCAACATAATGAAAGTTTTCTAGCCATCTGTTGTTAAGCTGGCGGTGAGCAAGGCCAGTATATCCAAACAAAGTCCTGGCCTGCTGTAAACTGAACCTGTCAGTTTAGCATAGCTTTGTTGACCTCCCCAACATGCAGGGCAGCCCGTGGTACCAGGCACCGACTGTGTATATAGCTTAGTAGGGAACTACTTGGGGGGGACCGTGTTTACTTTTTCTACTTAGTGTTCCTCCCACCGGCTTGAACTAGTTTATACTAAATCTTTAAATTGACACTGTTTTTCCAGTTTTGAGCTTTTTGGGTTGCCAGCCCCCCCCACCCGATGACAGTCCACCGTCCCTGGCCATTAGGGGCAGTTTTTAAACATGCACGTGTGATACTGCCTCTTGGTAGGAGGGGGGGAAAAAGGCATGTTCACAAGTATCCCAGCCTGCTTTGCAGGCTGCTGTTGGCATCTTTGTTTTGTATTATTTAAGATCAGTTGTTCTCTTGCGTCTTTGTTTTGGGACTCAGGGGCAAGGTGAAGCGTCGAGCGCTCTTTTGCTTCTCTTTGGTTTGGTTTTGTTAGGTGATGCTGTCGATTTAAGATATTACAGAATTTACAGCTTGTCTGCGCAAAGTCCCAGAGATCAGGCCTGAAAAGCCTGGACCGCAGGTATTGTCTTGCACGGCTTTACTTGGGCTTTACTTTGTTTTCTTCCTTAGCTGGACTGTCTCATAGCACTTGTATCCGTTCCTCAAATTTTTCTTCCCCTTTTTTTTTTCCTTCCTGAGTAAATTTTAGCTTGCTTGTTTCTTTTTGTTTGCGAGACAATCTACACTGCTTTATCTTGAATTCGAATCCAGTTACGACCATGGTTAAAAGACTGGTAACAAATCTCAGTGCATCTGCACAGGGAAATAAGTATTACCTATTGCCAGTGTTTGTTTTTTGGACCAGACTTACAGTAAATACTTTTGTGTGCTAACCTCTGCCAGAACTGCTTTTTCTGTTTTGTTTTCTACCCTTCTGCCTTACAAAATTAGGCATTTTTTGGCCGGTCCGTAACATTTAGTTACCAACAGGTTCTTGGAAACCAGTCCAGTTTTCTCTGATTTCACAATACTGCAGTTCTTAGGAGGGATTTTGCCTGTGTAAGGACTGCAGACTTTGGTTGCGTGTCCCAGATACACTGTCTGCAAAGTTAGAAAAGCACGTTGTTCGTGGCCCTTATTAAAGATATTCCAACCCGTCAACATCTTCATGGTGAGTATCAAATATGTTGGAGGCACCTCCGTGGTTTAGAGCAGTGGTTTTAAACCTTTTTTATTTACGGACCTCTAAAAAAAAAAAAAAGTTTTGAATGGAGGTGCGGACTCCTTTGGAAATGTCTGCTGGATCATAGTCCTCTTTCACGGACCCCTTAGACATAGTCTGTGGGTCCCCGGGGTCTGCAGACTACAGGTTGAAAATCACTGGTTTAGAGAGAGAAAAGGTGGAGGCCGTTTCTGGTTAGTAGAAGTAGGGTTGGGCTGGTCAGTTGACCAGTCAAATATTGTCAATTGTCAATAGACTGCATATTTTTTTGATTAGTCAAAGATAATAATTTTACAAAAAAATAAACCGACCTACGTTTTTGTAGCTTTCTTGACAGAAATATGATCTTTTTTCTTGTTTTTAACATATTAATGGGAAAATTGTGCTTTTTCTGTGTATTATGTGGACCTATTGGCAGGGTTTTTTTTACAATATTTGACTAGTCCATTAACCAGACCTTATTTGACCGGTCAGATACCCAACCCTAATAAAAAAGCATCTCTTTACCTTTATTTTAAACACATTCAGTGCTTTTCCACATCTCCTGCAAGAGGGCCCAGAGCTTCACAGGTGACAGGGTATAATATATGCAGGACCAGCCCCCATCCGTGACGTTTCAGATCGCACTCCCTGCCATATGTCTCAGTGGTAAAGCATATGACAGCGGCGAGAAACGCTCGGTTTAAAATTCAAATGACGGCACTTACTAGGAAATCCCATGCAGCCCTAATCTGTTGGTGAGGTGACTGACACACAAAGTGCTTTTTTGTTTTAAGGGAAAAGAAAATGCATTCAGGATAGGGTTTCTGGTACGAATGTCAGGTGCGACGCAATGTATGCTCACTCAAGAAGTAGGGCAGATAACCTTGGCATTTAGGACGTTGCCTTTTTACCAAATGAAATTGTATTTTGTTTTTAAAAAGGAGGACTACATTAAGAGGTCACCTATTAGCTGTGTTTTTGCTGGCTGTCTGAAACTCAGCTCTACTGTCTATTAAACTCAAACCACTATGTAAACATTCCTGTGTTGTTCCTGGTCTCTACAATGGCCAAGGGGATCAGGTTTCACCTGCCTGCACATCTTCAAGCAATTAGAGCAATTAGCTTGAAGCCATTTCACATTCAAGGTCTACTGTGACATTCAAGTCCAGAAGAAGTCTGGAAAGAAAAAAGGAAAAAATAGGAGGAGGAATACAGGATGGCCACTGTTCAAAGCACAGGAACAAATAAATATGCTTTTTTGTTTGTACCCACTTAAGATGCCATGTTGTGTAGTTTCACAGTAGGTATGCCAAGTTATTGTTACCCAGAAAAAAGCATCCAGTCATTATTTAATCTGGATGCTAAAGTTTTGTTTATAGGTTGGGTTGGGGAGGTAAGGGGAGAAGAACAGGAACCTGTCTTTGAATAGCCGGTGTGTGAAAATGGTACGCTGTTGGTCTTATTTACTGGCATGGCTCTTGGCATGTAGATCATATTTTTCCTCTAATTTACGTGGGGATTTATATTTGATGTTTACATTGTGAAACGGTGCTCATTCTGGTAAATGTATCAGTTACAATGACATTCAGCACTGAGTTTAGTGATTGTAGCAGTAAGTCTTGAAAGCTGCTATTTTTTAAAAGGTTGGAGCAGATTAGTGGTGACCTTAAAAGATTAAACTAGTACAGTTTAAAGATAAATAATCAGCCTTTAGCACATTAGATAGCTACATAAGCATGACAGAAGGTGACTTTCTTACTACAGTTTTAGAATCCAGGAAGCATTTTTACATTTGCAACTTGGCTACATAGGAACAGTGTGTTTTTGCAGAAAGCAAGACATAAACTGATTATAACACTTCAAATTGGTTAATGCAGTTTTAAATCCACAGTTTTCCTGTTGGTTTATTATGCAGAAGAGGCTAATTTTAAAAGCAATGCCTACTGCAAAAGAAGATCTTGCTTTGCTGTCCGGGAGGGTGTTCTTAATCAGAAATAACCGCAGGCTAAATTATAATCTGGAATCCGACTGCCCTTTAACCTAACGCTGCCTGCTCATTTGGTGTTTGTTAACAAACAGCTCTAAGTACAAAATTGTTTGAGAATTACTTTTTCATTTCATTTGCTGACTTCAATTAAAATAAGAAGCTTATGGGGAGGAAAAATTAAAAATGTATGGACTTCCTGAGAAATCATCAGTAGTTGTTTCCTTACCAACGTCTCCTCCAGTAGTGCGCTACAGATGATTTTGCATGTGTAGTTCAGCTGAAATAAAATCCTCCCCTGAAGCAGCACTTCTGTACTGGTGGGAAGGGGGGGATTTCAGTGTCATTCCAGTACCTTACCACTTTGGAGAACTGGAACTACAGCCTAAGACACGTGCGGGATGAGATAGTGGCACGTTCCTGTGGAAAAGGTGACTCGAATGTCGGACGTCTGATTTCCTATAGCGATTTCCAAAGTCGTCTTTGCAGCCTAGCTGAACGCTCCGCACCACAAAAGGTGACGTTTTGCGTCGCAGAGAAAAGGTTTGGTGTACCTCCAGTGTTCGATAGCGCTGAATTGAAACATGCAGTTGGCACATTAATTGGGGAGTTTAAGGTGAGAAGTGCTGAGTTAGTGCCAGCTTGCCCCCCCCTTAAGTTGACATGCTGCAGCGGAAACGCTGTGGTACTTAGAAAGGAGGTGATGCCTCTGAAAAGCAGCTCTGTCCCATTTTTTTTCTAGCCTAGTCTTCTGTTTCTATGATCTGCCTTTTGAACTGTTTTTGTGGCTGATCAGTTCCACCTAATATGTCTCTTGATTTCTGCTATTGTAATACTCAGACGACATGCTGTTCTCTTCATTTTTATAAGCTTTAGATGCTCCTGCCTGTCATACTCTGGCGGTTTATCTTCAGCGTCTGGATTTGCTTTCAGACTTGCATGTCTATCAAGCTGCTGTTGCTTTGAATGTGAGATCAAAAGAAGATGAATTCCAGTAAAAAATTTCCTTGTATGAAGAAAAGATTGGGGCCTATGTAAACATCCCCCTGACAGCTCCCAATGAGTTATTTTAGCAGAGCATTAGCACCCAGAATGACAGACAGCCCAAGACTACATGCTAAATAACAAATCAGTTCCTTCAGCGGCAGCAGCACGTTGCCACAACAGCAATACATTTTCTAAAGGAATCCTGTTCCTCTTTTTTTTTTTTTTTATTATTGAATATGGCCGTTCGACTGTTCATCTCTTTACAAGCTGCCTCAGAGTGCCAGTCCTAGTTTACTTTTCTTGACAATATCTGTGTCATGTCACCAGGATGACACAACACAGGACTTGGATAATTGGGAGGGGAGGCAGTTCGTTAGTCATCTCGTGTTAAATAGGTAGTTTGTTTAGGTGGGCAAAAAGAAAATGCCAAGGAGAAAAGGCACGTTAGACTCCTGAGCGCCCGCTCCTCCGATGGTAGGTGCAAGTTTTGTTAGGGTCCAGTGTTGGGGGGGTGGGGGGGGTCTTTGAACA